TCTAAACAATTTATTTCTTATCGCTATTAATGTTATCGTTTTCTTTATAATAAAAGTTAGATTATTGTTGCCAAAATTCAATTACGGGAAGTGTATTGTTTCAAAATGGACCATTAAAATTTGATGGTCCATTTAGTTTGTTTCTTATAAAGAATAAAGGGGGTGCATTTTCGTCATGAGGGTTTATTGCTTCATTTATTAGTAGATTGGCCCATTGAAGGTTGGTTTCAAAAGCCCATTTCAGATAGTAAAAGGAGTGTATATATTGAGTCATTGGGCTTAACTTGCCAAATTAACTAAGCCCAATCTATTTCATCTTATTCGGTCCAACAAAAATAGGGGTATGATGTTAATAGGGGGTGTGCATTTTTTTTGGACGACCCATTAACAATTTTTTTGAAGGTCCGTCTCTATTTGAATATTGAAACTACTATATTTCAATATAAACATGTTTTTTCAACTACATATTTGTATTACTAGTCTTGAAAGGTGTAGTTTAATTACCCGTAGTCCAATATAGTTATGTAGTTCACGTTGGTAAATGAAAAGACTATTTAAGATAGTAAATACTTTTAATAAGATTCCTTAACACAATACACGACCCAAAACAAATAAAAAAATAATAGTAAAAAAATAACCAATACTTATGTGTTTTCACAGGAGCAAAACCATCATATCAAATTTGTGTATTCATCTATCATTATTTTTCAGTATTTTTTTTATCAAAAATAAATATTTATAATATTTTTTATTATAACTGAAAATATTTTATCATAAAAATCATACTAACGTTTTTTTATAAATTATAATTTAGATATCATTTATTATGATTCAATTATAACCCTTTTTAGAAATAATATTAGGAATAGTAAGAGATATAATTACTGGTCTCGAAAAAACTTCTTGCATTTTTCAATGGGTTTTTTAAATTTATTTTCAATACAATTCGAAAAAATATTAATTAATATCAAAATTAAAATGAACTATATTAATTGCTATTTATTATAAATAACTATTTACAATTCAAAAACAAATATTTTGAAAAAATTATTATGATCACTATATTTAAAGTTGATAGCATATAATCAATATAATATGGTAAGTAATCAATATGTTATATTATGTGTACATATTAACTGTAAAAGTTAATTAGAATTAACAAGAATAAATTAGATTAAATTACGTTTAGGGGTATCTAAAATATTATTGTTTCTGTATCATAAAAATAACAGCAAGATGGATTATAATATAAATAATATATATGTTAAATTACATAATATAAATAGAAATTACAAATATAAATAGAAAATACATAATATAGAAATTACAGAATATAGAAAGTTGTATTAAAAATATATCAGCAAGATATTACAATATATGCTAAATTACATAATTTAAATAGAAATTACAAAATATAAATAAAAAATACATGATATAGAAATTCCATAATATAAAAAACTGTATTGAAAATATAACAGTAAGATGGATTACAATATAAATAAGGGTCATGTTTAACATGCGCTCTAAAAACACATGTTAAAGATATTATAATTAAAAAAATTTAAATATAATAAAATTATATTTAAAATTTTAAAAAATTAAATGAGTCACATTTCAAAATAATATTACTATAAATAATTTCTTAACATATGCATTAGAACATATGTCAGCATTTTCCTATAAATAATATATACTAAATTACATAATACAAATAGAAATTACAAAATAAAGATAGAAAATATATCATACAAAAATTACAGAATATGTAAAAGTTGTATTGAAAATATAAGAGCAAAAGTCTAACAAATTTTTTTCTTTCTCTTTATACGATAAATATGAGATTTTTAAGGAGAATAAATTATGAAAAGCTTTTTAATAATTTATCAGTTTTCTTCTACTAATTCCAAATCATCGCACCAAAATACATGTAACACTCACAAAACTCCAATTTGAATGAAATCCAACTAAAACCCAAAAGTTCTAAAAAGAAAATAAATCACTACATAACAATATCAAGAAAATAAGGAAAACACTTACATGGTCGGAGCTAGTTCGACGAATCTCCGACTCCGATGACAATGCATTTCAGGTAGGCATCAATTCTTTCTCTGCTATCTTCGTACTATGAAAACACAAACAACAAATTAACACAAAAATACAAACGTAATGTCTCCGACGACAATGTATCTCAGGTAAGCATCAATTATTTCTATGCGCTCTTCATACTGTGAAAACACAAACAACAAATTAACATAAAAACACAAACAATAAATTAACACAAAAACAAATGTAATGAAAAAAAGACATCTATATTGTGTTTTGATTGGAACCTGGTGGAAGAAAAGAGTGTTGTTGAGGCAGAGAAAGATGAAACTAAAAAGTTCTCAACATTTGAGGATTTCAAATTGTCTTCTGCCTTTAATAAAAAATTGGAATTTTTTATCTACATACCACTTTTTTACCAATAAATTCTTATACTATCATACATTTCAACACATATTTCTAATATACCATGTTTTTAAACAAACAAAAAAATTGAAATAAGAGGCTCCGCCCATTGGATTGGCGGATGCTCTCTAAATTATAAAGCTTCCGCCCATTGGGTTGGCGGAGCTGTTATAATATCGTTTTTTTTTTAATATAATATTAAATCATTCAGTGAACACGTTGACACTCTTCCGCCCATTGGATGGGTGGAGTCTCTAAAAGTTATAACACTTCCGCCTATTATTTTTGCGGATGTCAAATATTTTTAACAGCTCCGTTCATTCACCTGGCGGATGCTTTGTGACAAAACTAAAATTTGTTTGAAAACATGGTAGTATGGAAATATTGATTGAAGAGGATCGTATAGTGAGATTTTTTGTGTAAAAAGATGGTAAGACAGTAAAAAATTCGAAAAATTGAGTGATGGAATAAGAAAGGATTTGAGTGATTATTTAGAGTAAAATGATATCAATTATAAGTTGGAAGTAATTATTTGGAAGTAATGAAATAAATCAAAAGATTGTTAATATTTATTAACAAAAATAAAATGATTAATAATATAAATGACAATTAAGAATGCTAAATAAACTCTCAAAATTGATTTAATTAAAATCTAAAAATAATTTTAATAGTAATCTCTTTTATTATTTAAAAAAAGAAGTAGATTTATACCTTTATTTAACACAAACCAAAGTATATTCGAGCCTAACTATATAATTAAGATCATTTAAGTTGACCTATTCTAATATTTTTTTAAGCACTTTATAAGAATCCAACCCATGAGCCATGACCAAATAGTTTAAGGACTCATTTATTTAGTACTTGTACTACACATCTTGGTGACTCTTTAAATTTTTCTTTTTTTGCAATTAAAACAAAAGAGAGAGAAAAATGTTAATTTTTTAAAAATAATAAATTATTTTGGTTAAAATAATTAATAAATCATTTAATTTTTTTTTATTTCATCACAATATTTTATGTTTTCTAATTTGTAAATAATTGATGCCGACTTAACATACCACAACAGTACTCGTGCAAATACATGAATACTGATATAATACATGCATATAATATTAATATTGAATAATAACAAAAATAAATTAACTATTGATTTAAATATCTTTTGAACACACAAGTGTTTGTACAAACATTCATACTAAAATACGTGCGAACACATAAGTTATTATAATTTTTTTTGCAATTAAAGAAAATAAAAAAATATATAAATAACGTATGAATCCAAATACGGACAAAATGTAATTATTTATATTACTAACATTCTTTTATACAATTTTAGAAACATATGCAAATAATGCACCAGTACAAATACGAACACACATGTGTCAAAATCAGAATTCATGCGAACTCACGTGTTATTATATTTTTTTGTATAGTTCAAAAAATAAAAATAAAAATATTTAAAATAATATATGAATCCAAACACGAGAAATATGTGTTGTTTTTTAATTATTTATGTTATTAATATTTTTATTTTTATTTTTTTAAATTTAATATACAATATTTTTAAAGATAATGTATAGAAAATTGAAATATATATTATCGATATAAAATAATTTTATTTTTATTTAAAAAATATGTTTTTTAGAAAAATAATAAATTATTTTAGTAAAATAAATTTGTTTTCTTATTTATATTTTTATTACATTTTGAAAATAATAGTGTGTACCACATCAATTAAAATAATAAAAAAATATTTATTATTATTATATTTTTAATTTTTAAAATACTATTACAACATATTATATTTTAATAATTTATTTAAGTCTTTCAAAATCTTTCAAATGACTCATTCAATATGATTTTTTAGTTCTCTAAATTCAAAAAAAAAATTTTTTTGAATAAAATCAAATCTCCAAAAATTCTATTCAGCTAAGTTCTTCTATTCCTTTCCGCCGATCCTTTATTTTTTTAGAATCACTTCTATCATTTTACATTCAAACTCCGAAACAAAAGTTAAGAAATAAAGTTAAAAAAAATCAGTTTTCACTATCCGTATATTTAAAATTCAAAATCAGTTCTAAAATCAAATAATTTCAATCTTATTTCAATCGTAATTATTGAAAATTGAATCCTGATTATTTTTACTAAATCTAATACTAATCATCACTAAACCAACTATGGATTGACAGTGACAACAATTATTCTTAACAGCAAACACGCATGATATTTGCTGACGATTAGTATGTTACGTTACGAGTCTTTCCACATGAACATCATGTTTTCTATGTATTAGTACTATAAAGACAGTACTATGACGCGTCAAAAGTTTCTAGTTTGTCGCTTCTCACTCACAACAACCCTCTAATTAACCTTTTCTAAGAGGACATCACATCATGTGACATTAGTTAAACTCAATCTTTCATTAGAAAAAGAAGCCGTAATAACTTGATCTTACTCTATGATTTTTTTATTCTATGTATAAATATCACATAAAGTTTCCACTTCTTCAAACCACTGTCTCATTTCAATACCCCTAAACTTGCAGCATTATCATGAAGTACATAACTCTAGTATACACTAAACTAAAATGGCTACTAGATTTCATAATATATTATCCTTTCTATAAGCTTCATGATTCTCATTTTCCTCCAATAATTGCAGGAGTGTACAATATATGCAATTACGAACTCACCCCTACCTCAGAGGAAGATGTAGAATGTTCAGTGTGTCTTTGCAAAATAGAAGAAGGAGATGAGATCAGAGCATTGAGGTGTGACCATATGTATCACAGAAACTGTTTGGATAAATGGGTTAGTTTCAAAAACCATACTTGTCCACTATGTAGAGAATCATTGAGACCCAGAAAAGCCATCACTGAGCTTGGAGCTGAAGTTCTATCTTTTAATTTTTGTGCAAACCGGAATGGTCGAGATCGTGATGATTGGTGGATACGATGAGTAATACTGCTTCCACTTTAGGCTTTTTGTATGTAAAAACCAAGTTTATGCAAGATCTCATGATGTATATTTGTCATATCAAATAATGAGTAAATGCATTTAGTTGAATCATTATCACTTAGGTATTAAATTGAATATTTCATATCAATTTATCCAAGTAAATATATTTTTAAAATATATTTTCAATTTGAAAAATGTTAAAAGGATTAATACATTAATTTGCCTTCTATTACAACAACAATATTTAAGATTAATAGAGAAACCAGAGTAAATGCAATAAATATGGACGACTTTAGTGTGCAATTTGGTCAATTGTGTATACCTATGCAATTATAGAATAATTATATTTCCTTTATATTTCTGTGTTAATTAGGGTTATAGATGTGAGTATTAGATGTTTTATATGTTTTAGAAATTTGGAAAATATAATATTTCTGTATATTGGACGGTATCTATGGGTCATTTGGGTCATTCTTGCATTAGAGGTCTTAGAAATCATTCAAAATAAGTTTAAAATGAGCCAAAATCATGAAAAATCAGTGTTTCTACACAAAAATCAGTTGCATGTGCCGACACATACGATTTTCAGGCTGACACATATTCTTCAATAGTAAAGTTTGCATCATATACAACATTTCTACTAAAAAGCGCAGGCTTATGCGTCGGCACATATACTGCATTATTAAAGCCTAGAGCCTCTGTTTTGCATGTGTCGGGACATTACCTATTTCACATCGGCACATGTGTCAATGTTTGACAATATGTGCCAACACGTAACATTATCTGTTAACATATAAGATTTTTGAGCCAACACATAAGATTTTCAAGCCAGCACATACTGTTGTTTTGGGTCAAAATTTTCATTTTTTTTTAATTCCCAAGTTCCCCTCTTGGCCACAAAATTTCCACTACTACAAATACATCATACATGCATCATTTCAACTTGATGAAACTATGAACATTTACCACCATTGCTCTTCATCTTCAACCTTCAACCTATGCATACACACTAAAAAACTACATATAATCATTTTTTGTTGGGGTGTCATCTAGACGAGGTTGATAACGTCTAATTAGGTCGGTGAGCGTGACCGAATCGAGAATATTGAGTTGAGAATTATGGAGGGTTTTAGCCAGAAAAAACGATTATTTATCCTCCAAGATCATTATGGATTTAGGGGTTATTTCAATAAGAAAATCGAGTTGGGATTTTCCTTCAAGATCTTGGTGAATTGAGAGTTTTGGACAAGGCTACGCAATTCGGATTCGATCGAGTGAAGACTTTGAAGAATGGAAGGTTCTTGTAAACCTAATAGCGTGAGACAGTGAATCAAATTGATAGATCTTGAGTTACAACAATTCGCGATTTGGATTCGGCCGAGTGGAGAATTTGAAGAACCGTGGTTTCTTACAAACTAGTAGCGCGAGAAGGTAGATCAAATTGGTTTATTAACTGACTTGATCGAGTTATGATAAAGGGAAGGGGGCTTTGTAGGATCAACATCAAACATGTAGTTTGTAGGGTTGTAATTCCACATTTATCTTGTAAACATTACTTTTTGCAAAGTAAGAAAGTTATCTCAATTCTAAAATGGAATTGGGAGGAGACGTAGCCATAACGAGGACGATTGGTGAATTTCCTAAATAAATCTTTGTGTTATTCTCTCTCTCTCTCTCTCTCTGTCATTTACTTACTATATGCAATTTGTTGAACTAAGTGTTTGATTGATCAATTCGTATAGAATTTTTCTTTGATTGTAAAAGTTTAAATTGATTTGTTGATAAGCTTATAATTACTTTGATTGTAAGTTTTATTCTCAAATCAATAAAGCTCAAAAGAAAATCTGAAAAATTGATCGCGAGCCAAGTGTTTGATAAATTGTCAAGTTTTGTTTTTAACACAATTTCATTGGAAACAGGTAGCTATTATGATTTGTTATAAACGATTAATTGTGATACAATTGTGTTGGTTGTTTTTATTATTGTTAATTTCATATGGCTTTCACATATCTGAGTTTCAATAACTAGGTTCATTTAGACGATTTTTTGATCTAGGCTAAAATTCTTCCGCTTAATATTGTTTTCCAAAATAAATTTTAATTACCTATTTTTGAAAGGTAATTTTTACTTGGGGATCTATTCACCCCCTCTAGATAAGTCTTCATCATCTAACAAGTGGTATCAGAGCTCCAGTTAATTATGTTCTTCGAAACTCTTATTTGAAAATGGATAACAAACCTAAAGGGGCGTAAAATAGAGTGCTAATTTTTACGGGAGAAAACTCTGGTTATTGGAAAACATGTATGCGTATCTATATTAAGTCATATGACAAAGGTGTGTGGGAAGTTATTTTAAATGGTCCAACACCAGTAACTCAAACCGATGAAAATGGAGTTGCCACACCTAAGCCGAAAGCACTATGGAATGATGATGATAGAAAGAAGTGGTGACATGATTGGAAAGCGCAAAATATTCTCATATCCTCTCTTGGTGTTAATGAGTTTTATTGCATTTCTCATTGTGAAACCATTACGGATATGTGAGACTTATTTCAAGCTGTCCATAAGGGAACCAATGATGTCAAATAAGCTAGAACTAAAACTCTTAATTAAGAGTTTGAACTATTTTGCAGGAAGCATGAGGAGACCAATGCTCAAATTCCAAATAGGTTCTTTCATCTTATTTATAGTAGCTCAAGGCATATGATGGGTATCATATCTTAATCATATTGCATAGGTGGCAAGAAGAAGGATTATGTAACCTAGAAAGAAACAACAAGTATTCTTTAATTGGTAAAAGATGCATAAATTACTTTTAATAATTGTATCTATAATATTCGGAAAAGGTATTTTGTTTCATGGCGTAGGTGTATCTTTAAAAGACATACTTAATGAACCCAAATAAGGGATTGATCAACCTAAGGCGGTGAAACTTGAGAAGGAGCAAGATAACTATTATGAAAAGAACTATGATGAAAGTTCAATTAAAATGAATGATAATCAAATCAATGACCTTCTTGGATTCATTACAAGTTTTTTTTTGTACTTTGTCAAGGTGAAAAGTGGAAAGATCGTGATTTTCTAATGTTTTTGTGGCATAAAGCAACTCAAGGAAGGAACATTTGTGTGTCAAGCAAAGTATCATCTCGAATTACTAAAACGATTTGGCATGGATGATGCAAAGAAAATTGAGACTCCCATGGCAACAAATGGAAACTTGGATAAATATGAAAAGGGTAAGGATGTAGACATCAAGAAGCATAAAGGTAAGGCAACAAGAGAGGACACCCTAGAGGTGAAAGTGTGTAAAGTGTTTGTTTTCATTTATATTTATCTTGAGATTAGGGTTTTCTATGTTCAGTTATTAGTCTTTCCATACAAGCCCTAGTTATTAGCAGTTCAATATGTGTTGAAAATAAAGTGCGGAATGTAAAGTGCAGAAATTAAACCTAAGCTATTACATCCTGTGAGTAGTTACATAATAATAAAAAATATACGGAAAATAAATCTACGTTATTACAATTAAGAACGAGACCTATACACTTGATCAATGAAAATTAAATAGTAAGAAGAAAATAAGAATATTTTGAAAAAAAAGTTTAGAAGACTTAAATATTTGGTAATTATTAATATTTAATATTTGGTATTTTATAGAAAATAATTTAAGTGTTAATAATTAATAAAACTTAAATTTCTAATTGATTTTAATATTTAAAAAAGAAAAGTTTTAGTTAATTAATTAATAAAATTAGTTAGTAACAATAAAATATATCAATAAAATTAAATATTAGTTAAAAATCCAAAACCTAATTTATTAGTATTAAGAAAAAGTTAATTTAGTTTAATGACTGATTAAAAGTTAATTAGGGTTTAAAAGAGAAAATAGAAAAATAATTAGGTTAGAAAAAAAATAGAGAAAAGGGTTTGCATGGGGTGGGTGTTGAACTCACGCCCCTGGCTTCACTGATGTGCTTCCCTGCCACTGCGCCATACGCTTGTTGGTGTTTGGAAGTAGGACTTGATTATTATATGATAAACCTGCATGTTAGTTTGAATAAAATAGAAAAAAATATTGCAAGATGCAGGGATCGAACCCACGTCCTCTCGTTTAACAAGCCTCTGCCTCAACCAACTGCGCTACACTTCATATTTGTTAGCATAATAGAAACAATACAATATATTATAAACCAGTGAACCAGAGAGGCGTCAGAGGCTTAGCTCCGGTCATCTTCTCCGGCGAGGTCAAATATCCATCTGCAAAAACAACGCGCGTTAGAGATCAAGAAGGACCTTATTCTCCTAATTTGGGCCTCCTGAATCCAATGGTGACGTCCTTTTTGGATAATTCATCCTGTATAATGAGATATGATCAAAACAAAGCTAAATAATGTAATAATGGTAATGAAGTGTTCTGGCATCATGTGCCTCATGCAAGGGATGAAAACTGTGCTAATTTGTCTCATGAACACATTGAAATCTTTAGTTTGAACCAAAGCATCGAAAATATTAAAATATAAATTTGACAAAAAATGAAAAATCGGCGATGGATGGATGCGTGTTTCATATGCATTTGATCATCAAGAATAATTATAACTTACTCTATGATACATCAGGGATTGATTTGGATGGTTATCTCTCCTTGTGGATGGCTGAAAGCTGGGATTCGAATTCACCCTTCTCTTGCAAATTTTTGATCAAAAAACCTTGTTTCTTGCAGCCTCTTTGCGTGTGTTTTTGGTCTGAATATGTAGTGTTTATATAGAGGAGGAGATTAGGTTAAAAGATGGGCTTGGACATCATGTGAAACATATCTTTGATTCTTGTTTGAAAATACGTTGAATTAATACAAAACCATAAATATTTGATTGAAAAATAGGTGAACACAGTTTCTTGCTTAATCTTGGGCATCCAAAATATTCAGATCTCAAGTCTTTTATGCCTTATACATTTATTCAATATTTATTTGATTTAATTTTGAATTTAAATGAATAAAAATCAAAG